TATATATATATATATATATATATATATATATATATATATATATATATATATATATATATATATATATTTCATTTTTAGTCCATATAACACGCGGACTTTGAGTATATAATCAACGACCTCACCAGCCACGACTCGAACCCTGGACATGCTTTTAGTGCTCTTGTGGTATGGTCGGTAGCGTTCCCTGGTCCCATGCATTAGGTCCGGGGTTCGAGTCCTGGCTGGTGAGATCGTTGATGATTATCTATCTATATATATATATATATGTATATATATATATATATATATATATATATATATATATATATATATATATATATATATATTTATTTATTTATTTCATGTAGATCCCACAATGAAAACGTGGATAAGGTAAATCTTGATAAAATCACACAGGAAAGAAACACACACATATATATATATATATATATATATATATATATATATATATATATATATATATATATATATATATATATATATATATATATATATATATATATATATATATTGTCATAGGTTGCGCTGGGCCTCCGCACAACCCATCCCAAATGTTTGTTTGGGTAGAGATAAGGTACCTGGCCAGCCGATAGGGGTCATTTCACGCCTCAAAAACCCACATTTTAGCCAGTGGTTGATTTTTATTTTGCCGCTTACAGCGGCTACTTTTAATGCACCCACCACTCATCCTGTGAGCGGTAGCAAGGATTACAGAGTAGAGTTTACAAGGGTCATAATTTTCCCCGTTGTCAGGATATCATGGCATTGAATGTTACACAGTATTTCATTTACATTATTTGTTTAGTTCTATACATAAAAGGGTAACTTATTCACAAATGCGCCAGTACAGGCGTGCGAGGCAGTATGTCTGGCCTCACACTTTGTTATTTACATTTACGTGAGAGGTATTCAAGCACATTGAGTATTTGGTTCTGTACATGAGAACTGATATAGTTACAAAGTGCAAAAAGTGGATACACTCTTAATATGTCGGCTATCTTGCCATTAGAGATGAAGTGTTGTGTCATTTCACACACAGTGTCCTTGGACCTGTCCCTAAAGGTTTTATCTTCACACAGTCGAGGACCTAGTGTTCAAGTGTGTGGCCATATGTCTGGCCACACTTTACATTAGTTTTGTTTACATCTGCTTGAACATACTGCCAAAGGTACTTATATCTAACCTTAATCTAGCGTTTACAACATCTTGTAATTTAGTGATCTTGTACTTGCTCCAAATACATATTTCATTTATACATCTCATCATGGCTACCTATGGATCGTCTAGTGCCTGTTTGCACTAGTCTACTTGCGTCAAACTCATCAATAAGTTCTTTCTAATTAAAAGTTTAAGGGTTCTTTTGACACACCCAAATTGTATTCAATGGTGTCTTTTTGTTAGACTCGAGTTTGGCAGGGGCATCAACTCTGTCATGTTTTTATGAGGCCTATGTGAGAGGGATCCACAACAGTTTGACCTTGACACCCCGGTCAACAAGGCGCATCTTTGTGTCTGGCTTCAGAGACAAAGCGTGACAACCTGAGTCGAGGTGCCAGGGCAAGTAGTGAATAGAGAGTCAGTGATGATGAGACTGTCAGTAACAGTGGTTTC